CCAGTCGTACACTGGAGTCCTCATGACAACCACAAATGTCTCTACACATGTCCACATATGTCCAGGGTACAGGAGGGCCCAGCCCTGGTTGAGGGCCACTGCTGAGGAACTCGATGGGGGGAAGGCCATCCTGAAGGTATGAGAACATTAAATCCTCTAAATTTATAGATAAATTGATGGTTGAGAACTAGGAAATTGTGTTTGTCCCCCAAAAAGATGAAAAAGATTCTTTGGTGACTGGGTTAGGCCCTAGAAACCCATAATGTAGCTGAGGTCGGTGGTTCTACCAAGCTGTGTTAGGGCTGAGGAAATGTCCAGAAAGCAGCCAGCATCTGGTCCCAGAGCAGGTGAGAGGGCAGATCCTAAAACAGACTTGGAAATGTCCACGTTGTGGTAGGAGTTAGACTTAAGGCCCAGGCTCCACTAAAATCATCATGGCAAGCTGGGTGTGGGGGCACATGTCTGTAATCCCAGCTACTTAGGAAGCTGAGGCAGGAGGATCACAAGTTTAAGGGGATTTTAGTAAATGGGCAATTTAGTAAAAATCTGTCTCACAATTAAAATAAAATGGTCTGAGGATGTAGCTCAGTGGTAGAGCACTTTACTAACTCATGTGAGGCCCTAGGTTTGATCCTCAGCACGAAAAATTGTCAAGGAAGAAGGTTTTAGGAAGAGTAAAGAATGAATCCAGGATAAAGGCCAGACAGATGTAGAGGAAGCAAGCGCCAATACTATCTCTTCTCTGCCCTCTGATTTCTATTCCCATGGTCAGCACTCAAGTTTAGAACCTCAGTTTGTGTCACGATCATGGCAACAATTTTCTTTTTCTTTCTTTCTTTTTTAATAGTGACAAGGTTTATTTGAAAGGCTAGGGGTGTGGGAGAAACTGGTTCTGCAGAGCAAACTGGGACCAAACAAGAGGGGAAAAGAGAAAAGCAAAAATAAAAGCACACCGTGGCTCTGAAAGATTCAGGGTAGGCTACTGCGAAGAGTCACCATAGCGGGTTCCTCGTGCCATCCTGTCTCTTTTAGGTCCTCTGCATCTCCTGGGAAGACGCGAGAAACTCCACATGTGGGGTTCTGAGAGGTGGAGCTGTGTAGATCCCGGGATCCCACCACGTCTCATTCCCCGCCAGTCTAAGCCACGCCCTGTCTCCTATCTCCGTGCCGGGCTGTGAGGTACCGGAGTCTCACGGAGGTAGTTCCTGGGCTCTTTCTGTCCCGAGCAAAGAGTTGGTGAAGACGAGTGTAAATGGTAGCAAAGTTTTACTAAAAGTAGGAAAAGAAACAGGCTCCGCAGAGCAAGTTTGGGCCAAGTTGCTTGCTTCTCCTCCCGGAGTTGGATTCCAGGTTCTTCTCGTCTTGAGCATAGAATTGAACAAAAGTAGCAAAAAACAGTGGCAAATTTTATTCGAGAAAGTAAGAACGAAGAGTGGGAGAGAAACTGGCTCTGTGGAGCGAACTTGGGCCGAGTAGCTAGAAGAGGAGGGTGAGAGCAAAGATAGAAGCACACGCTGTGTCTGGAAATTAGGACAGCCCACAACAGTTTTCTAACTTGCTTCATTTCTTCTTCTGGTCTCTGCGCCTTCCAGAATTAATTAAGGAATTAATTAATTAATTAGCAGTGCTGAGGATGGAACCCGGAACCTTGAGCATGCTAGGCAAGCCCTCTACCACTGAGCCGCTCCTCTAGCTAGGATTATTTTCTTCAGATAAAGCTTTCACGATGGCCCTTCTCAGCATTAACCAGGTCCAAACTGCTTAGTATTCTGACCCTGAGGGCTTGCGCACGCTTGGTGAGCTGGCTCCACATTCCCATTTCCAGGCTCACTGTTTCTGCATCTCCCACACCTTAGTGTGTGGCCACCCAGAGCCCCAAACACACCCCGCCTTTCTCTTCCCCATGCCCTGTCCACCCTGGGGTGCCCTTTGACCTTTTCTTCAGTAGGGAAAATATCACTCAGGCTTCAAAGCCTAGTTTAAGTCTTTGATAAAATTTTCCCTGGGCCCTCAGAGGCACCCAGGTGGTCTCCCACTTCTGCAACCCCTTCTCCGGCTCTTCATCTCCACCATGGAGCTACCCACCTCTCTCACTAGCCTATGAGTTCTCTGAGGGCGGCAGCCATGCCTCCTTTGGCTCTGCAGTCCCATTACCCAGCCCAGTGGGAATGAACAGGAAGGTGGTGCTGGGCTGGACTGGTATGACAGGGCTACACCGGAAGTGAGGTGATTTTGCCTAAGCCTGACTGCAGGCGTACTGAAGCCATGTTGTTGTGGTGGTCATTGTTGTTGAGATACAGTCTTACTATGTTACCCAGGCTGGCCTCAAAGGGTCCCAAGTGCTGGGACTATACATGCACTCTACCTCACCTAGCTTGAATCAGTTTCCTCTGCTGTCTTCCTGTACATACTCTCTTTGGGTGAGTGTTTGTGAAAGCTGGAGGAGAGAAGGAACAAGATGGCGATCCAAGGTCGAGGACAGGTGGAGAGAGGAGAAGAGAGGAGAGGCTAAAAGGACGGAAGAGAAAGCGGGTAGCAGAGGTCTGCATCAACAGTTCTCGTACGTAAAGGACTCAGGTGGCCTGGAGCAGAATAAGAAAAGATGTGGGACTCTAGAAATGAAAGTAGCTGCCTTGACGGGTCAGCTGAATGTACAGTTAATTGACAGACATTAGTGCCCTCTGGTGCCAAGCTGCGCATGGAACTGTGTCCTGCTAGGATCAAATGCCAGCTACCAAGGATACGCTTTTAATAGAGAGCAGAAAACAGCCTTGGCATGTAAGAGCTGGCAGGCTCCTCACAGAGTTCTCTCTGCGGGCACCAGGGGCCACTGGAAGCCCGTGGTTGCGCCCCACCGCAACCTGGCTGTTGCCAGGGAAAGATGGGCATTGGGAGAGGTGACACACTGAGCAGCTGGTGTTCTAGGAGCTGTGCCAGACCCAGAAGAGCCCTTTGGGCTTTACTGCAACTCTGTGAGGTTGGGATTAGCCCGATTTTACAGATTAGAAAATTGAGATCCTGGAGGTTTAAGATTTTTCCCAAGGGCCCACGGCTTGAAAGTGCTGAATCCAGGATTCTAATGCAGGTCATCCGCCTGAGGAGTGGGCCAGAGCCCAGAGGTTGGCAGCAATTTGTTCTCCAGCCTTGCAGACTTTGGCCGTGGAGCTGATCTCTTTGGGTTGATTTATTTGCACATAAACAAAATACCATGTTTTTCCTGGCTTTGAAATGAGCCCTCAGAATCATGTGCTGTTCTCCTCTTTCCAGCTGGGTGCATTGCTGAGGAATTCATGAATCTGAAGCAACAGGCTTTGTCCTGAGAGTCAACAGCGTGTTCCAAAACATACCAGGGTGCTTCTGTTCCCAGAAGATATTCAACCTGGAGCCCCTCAGCCTGGGAGGCCAGGTTTTCCATTTTGTCTTCCCCTCTCAGTGATCTTTGTGTGGACGGTGGATGCCTGCTTTCCTAGGCAAAATTTTAAAATCCTTACGAAGATAATGGGACCTTTAAAATGTTGCTCACACTCTGTTCGGACTTCTGTGACCCACGTCACCTTCTGCTCAGTGGTTGATAGGTGTGCTCTGTTTTCTGTCAGCCTGTGAGTGACGGTGAACAGAGGACAGGAGGTATGGATGGGGCAAACAAGGGTCAGTGTTTTCCAGAATTCTGATGTGACATAGTTAGACCAGCTTTTGGAGCTAGAGTGGCTGGAGCCATTCAGGGTTCCAGCATAGAGGACAAAGTGGCACCCTGAAGCCCTATAGATGTTTGGCTTTGGGGTGGAGTAGGTTGTCTAGAAAGCCCAAAACAACTGTTTTCTGGAGTTTTTACAGAGTCAGGAACAGACTAAAACCCTTTGGCTGGGGTTTGGCCTAGAGCTGTACGTCCCACACCACTGAGGCGGGTTATCTTGCTTTGTGCATGGCCCTCTGAAATCTTGTTGAATCTCAGAACTTCCTGGGACGCACGGTGAGCTGCAGAGGACCCAGGCTCTGGTCTTGGATTTGGGCTTGTGTTCTGAGTGGAGCAGGATCCTTCTGTACCACCTTCACGATCTACTCAGAATCTGGCCACTTTTCACTACCTCACTGTCACCACCAAAGTCCAAGCCACTACCCTCTTTTGCCTGGATTATTGTAGTAGCTCTCTCAGCAGTCTCTCAAAGTGAATCTGAGCATGTCAGCTTTCTGCCTAAGATTCTCTAGTTGCTCTCCATCTTACTCAGATTAAAAGCCAAATCTTGGGCTAGGGGGTGTAGCTCAGAGCCAGAGCACTTGCCTAGCATGTGCGAGGCCCCAAGTTTAGCCTCCAGCACCTCTATGGTATCCCTCAAGGCCCTGCATAATCCGGTCTCCTAGGCCTTCTTGAGATTTTCTACTACAAACCCTCCATCACCCTCTCCATGCCAGCCACACTGGCCTCCTGGCTGTTCGTTTATTTTGACTGGGTATTACTCATATGGAACAGTGGATTTCATTTTGGCATATTCATACCCGCGTGTAACACACTTTGATCTGCTCTGCCCCCTTTACCCTTCTTGCCTCTCCCTCTCCCTTGTTCCCTTGCTCTTCTCTAATTGTCCCCTTTACCTTTATGTTCTCTCTCTCTCTCTCTCTCTCTCTCTCTCTCTCTCTCTCTGTCCTACATATGAGAGAAAACTTGCTATCTGCCTGGTCTGTCTTATTTCCCTTAACATAGTGATCTCCAGCTCTGGCCACTTTCGTACGCATGACACGATTTCATCCTTTATCCTGAATACCGCTCCACAAACCTTTACGCTCTTACATTTGTGCATCATATTTGCCTCTTGCCTGGGATGCTTCTCCTGGTGTACCAGGCCAGCACCCAAGAGGGACCGTCCATGGCCCCCGGAGAACCACACCGGGAGCCGTGGCTTTTTGGTAGAGGCATGCGGCCGATCCATGAAGACACTGGACAGAGAGAGCTGAGGATGAAAGACCCTAATCGCACTTTCCTGTCCCTTCTCATCTTCTTGCAGGTGTCTCCCACTGGTCAAACCCACCCCGCAGCCAGAGGGCAAGGGAATCCGTCGATGCCGCCCGCACAGGTCAGCCTACTGGGGCACAGTGTTGGGTGGAAAAGGATGGAGAAGGTCTGAGGGAGCAAACAGAAAATGCCTAAAATAACTGGGTGTGTTTGTAGTCGGTTCCTTCACCTCCTTCAGACCTCCACCAAAATGCTACTTCTCGGTGAGGGTTCTTCTGGCAGCCATTTCTAAAATTTCCACAGCTAACCCCCACAACGCATATCCTCCCTTCCATGCTATTTATTCTCTCTGTAGCACTTATACTACCTGGCAGATAATTGATTTATTTATCTTACCTATTGCCCGCTCTCCAGAATGGGAGCTCCATGAGGGCAAGGACTTTGTTCTGTTCACTGCTATCGTCAGTGCCTAGAATTTTTGGCCCTTAATAGGCACTCAATAAATGGTAAGTGAATGAATGATTGAAAGGATGAGCTCTCTAGGGCTGCCCTCGAGTAAGTCTGCTCTTAGCTTGGTGCAGCTGTCCCTGTTACTTGTACTTGCTGTCCTCGGTTTCCTCCAAAGTGGCTTAACTGCTGCCATGTTTTTAGGTCTAAGGCGGAGAAGCCTTTGCTGCCCTGGTATCAAAACTCACAGGACAGTTTTAACTGGAGCCCTACAAAAACTGTTACTGCACTGATTGGTGCATGCTGAGCTTTGTGCGTTATTGAAGTTGTCATCAGCAGCAATGGGTAGATTCATAGTTATGGGGTATCTGCCCTTCCAAGTAGTATTTCTGTACCTCTGAGACAGTCATGCTTGCTAGTGTTCTTTCCAAATTAGGAGGTTCAGGAGCCACTTCTTTCAGGCTCAAGGACAGGGAGCTGTGAACCTGGTCCCCTGGCAACAATGGTGGTGGACCCGGATAGGTCAAATGCAGATAAGCAAAACAGATTTGAATTCCTGCATTACTGTGGTTGTTTTATGATATCAGTAACATATGGACATATTTTCATTGCAAAAAAATTGAGCAATCCAGTAAGCATTAAAATCCTCTCCCTTGGCCTGCTCAGCTCCTTGAGGTAACCAGGATTCATAATATAGAATATAATATACCCACCCCTTTCCACATCTTTTTCTGTGTTTACATAGTTTGGTTTTATGTGAGTGCTTTTTTTTTAAAAAAAAATGGTATTGCAGTAAATACAGTGATCTGCAGCTTGCTTTTTTTCACTAAACAATATGTCTTAGAAACCTTCCCATCTTAGCACATCTGGTTCTAACCCCCTTTTTCCCTAAGTATTTAAACTTTTTAGTTTGTGATCATTGTAGATGTGTGTGGTATCTGTATCAGTCAGTGTTTTACTAGAGAAACAGATATAACACAAGATATACAAACATATAACAAATTACAAGACCTTTGATTCCTGGTACCAAAAAAAGAAAAGAAAAGAAATGACAAGACCAGCTTACCATGGTCAGCCACAGAGTTGGATGAGGAAGCGTGCAGAGGGTGTCTGCACACTGGAGGCTGAAGGGTTCAGTCCAAGGGCCAGAGCACACTGCAGTGTTCCGTCATAGCAACGACCCCACTTCTCTGGTACCAAATTCATTGTAGTCAGGGTTTTCAAGAGAACAGATTTAATACAGGACACATAGGGTTATTTTATAATATTCACCCAAAGAGTCAAATGCAAAAGAGTGCGGGAGATCTGTCCACACACTAGAGAGCCAAAGAACCCAGCTGAGGGCCTAGATCCCATGGCAATGTCCTGCATGAGTCCAGCTGAAGACCTAGAGCCCATGGCAGTGTTCTCCACGAGTCCAACCAGAGGCCTAAAGCACACGACAATGTCTCATGCAAGTCTGTATCACGGTTCTACACTGGGAAGGCCCAAAGGTCAGTAGTGGAAGCTAGAAAGTCTGCACCAACGGGGTGAATGATCTGTGCTAGCAGGCTTAGGGACCTGTACTGGAGCCAGAAGGCGATGCTCAAGGTAAGGACCAGAGTTCCCCTGAAAAGACCCGCAGCCATCCTCAGCAACAATGAGGTCCTGAGCTCCTCCGATGATGAGAACAGCTGAGTTCATATCAGGAAAACCAGGGTGATAGTCTTCTTGAGGAGAATCAATAGCAACCATCTTCCCCTCCACTTCTGCTTTTATGCTGTTGGCAACAATCCTCAGATGGGCGTTCTACACCTAAAACCATGCTGATTCAATTTAGTAGGGTGTTACAAGTTGACTATTAGTTAATCCACCACAATGTCTAAGAAATAATACAGACAGATCCCATGTGCCCTTTTCTGTTTTTCTCAATAGTAACCTCTTGCAGAACAGTAATATAATATTCAAGCAGTGTGGTGACACTGACGCAGTCAAGATGCACAAGGTTTCCATCTTCACCACGATGCTCCAGGTTGCCCTTTGGTAGCCACGCCCACTTTCCTCTCACTTCGCCTCCTGCTTAACCTCTAGCAACCACTAATCTCTGTTTCTAAGATTAGCTCATTTCAACAAGGTTATACAGTAAGTGCAATCACATGGTATACAACCTTTGGGGATTTCTTTAAGTTAGCGCAATTATGGGTCCGTCTGTATTACTGCACGTATCACTACCCTGTTCCTTTTGTTTGTTCAAGATTCTGTTCCTTTGTATTGATGAACAGTTTGCCATGGCATGGATGTATCAATTTATCCATTCACCCATTGAAGGCCAGCTGTATTGGTTCCTGGTTTCCGCTGTTACACATTAAGCTTCTGTGAACATTCACCTAACAGCCTTTTACATGGACACATCTTTTCATATCTCGGGGGCAAATGCCCGAGAGTCCAGTTGTTGGGTTATATGGTATTTGGATGTTCTGTTTCGAAAGAAACTACCAAACTGTTTTCCAGAATTACTATACCATTTCAACTTGCTGCCAGCAATGTATGAGTGATCTAAATTCTTAACATCCTCATTAACGTTCAGTGGTATCACTTTATTTTTTTCATTTTAGTCATTCTGATAGTTATGTAGTGGTTTGTTGTAGTTCTAATATGTGTTTCCCTGATGGTTTGTGATGTTGAACATATTTTTATGGGTTTACTTGCCATCCATATATCTTCTTCAGTGAATGTCTGTATATGATTTTAGCCCATTTTCTAGTTAGGTTGTTTGAATTTTTAACTGTTGAGTTTTGAGAATTCTTTATATATGCTAGATTCTAGTCTGTTGTTAAATATATGGTTTGGATATATTTTCTCCTTAGTCTTTGGCTTTTTTTTTTCTGTCTTTTCAACAGGGTTTTCCACAGAGCAAAGTTTTTAACTTTAATGAAACCAAATTTATCAATTTTCTTTTTGTGCATGGGTTTTGATGACCATGTATAAAATCTGGTTTATATGCATGGCTCTGGATTTCAAACTGAGGAAATTTACTTCTTTTCTTATTTCTCAGAGATTTTAAAAAAATTATCATAATGAGTGTTGGATTTTTGTCAAATATTTTCTGCACTGATCAATATGATCATGTGGTTTTTCTTCTTTAGTCTGTTAATATAGTGTATTGCACCAATTGGATAGAATTAGTGGAGAATTCTTTAAAGACCTGAGAATTTTTCAAAGTTTAAAATTATGAATTTAATCTTCTTAATAGTTATAGGACTATTCAAATCTATTTCTTATTAAGGGGATTTGGGAAGTTTATGGTTTTCAAGAAATTGGTTCATTTCATCAAAGCTGTCAAAGCATGTAGAGTTGCTCATAGTATTCCCATGTTATACATTTCATGTCTGAAGAGTCTGTAGTAATATTTGTTTCATTCCTAACATTAGTGATTTGTGAAAGTCATGCTGGAGGTTTGCCCATTGTATTGATCTAACTTAATTATTTCCAAATGCAAAGTCAGTTCTTTCAACACTATTGCCTAGTCCATCCTTTCACCACTGGCTTGTAAACTGCCACTTTTCTTTAACATCTTTACGTGAGTTGGTTCAGAGCCTCTCTGTTCTCTCTCTCTCTTTCTTTTTCTGGTACAAGGAATTGAACTCAGGACCTTGCACTTGCCAGGCAGGCGCTGTGCCACTGAGCTATCTCCCCGTCTCCTCTCTTGTCTTTTGCTCACTTACCTGTCTACTCCTGTGTCAAAACCACACTCTGTTAGTCACTAGACATGTGATGCTTGGTATAATGTCACCCTTCATGATCCCTTTTCCCCAGAGTTGTCCTAGCTCCACTCATACCTACGATCTTTTTATATGGATTTTTGAATCAGTTTGTCAGGTCAATGAAAAATTCCTGTGGAGATTTGATTAGAATGGCCATGAGTTTATAGAATAATTTTAGGAGAAGTGATTTTTTTCTCTATCTCCGTGTAACTTTTTCTCCTTCACAAAGATCACTGGAGCTTGATAAAAGAGGTTCAGGGGGAAAGAGCTTACACGACCCAGATCTCAGTCTCTCCCTCCCTCCCTCCCTCCCTCTCTCTCTCTCTCTCTCTCTCTCTCTCTCACACACACACACACGTGTGCACATTTGTGTCTATGTATTCATGAAAACCTGAATTTCAGCATCCAAAAGTGAATAGTATAAACACAGACTCTGGACATTCAGTCTGTTGCTCAGAGATACTCCCAAGGTAGGGACAATGCCTCCTTTTCCTAATCAGAAATACACAAAAAGAGTGAATGACAAAGCAGCATGTGGTAACATTGGGAGACTGGAGTTGTGCTATTTTATAGGGAGCACCCAGGATGATAGACAGTCATGACATGAGAGGAAGCTGGGAAGCACCACGAATTAGGAGTGGTTCCTGATTCATTCCGGTGCCTATGGGTTGGGGTATTCAGGAACTACAAACAGTCCGCCCAAGCACGGTGCACTGTGTCCGTCTCTACAGAGGAGGATAGGTTGGGCTGGGCTGGCAGTTGGGTCTGAGCCTGATGTCCTGGACAGACCAAAGTGTGGGTTCTGAAGGACATCTGACAGCAGGTACTCACAGGTCTTGGTGCCTGGCAGCAGGGTGGGCCTGCCAGAGCGACTTGACCTTCCCACTCAGGTACTCCAACAAACTGTAGGTCCCAAAAGCCATTCAGTAGT